CAATTGTCCAATCCGTAACACACAACGGAAAACAGGTTAGCTCTTCATACCTTTGGGTTCAGTTTAAAGATAGAACTAATTTAGGCATCCCAATTCAGCATACTCCTTACTGAAAGTAGCTCAAGAGACGAGCAATATGATTACATTACCCCCCCCCCCCGTTCACCATGCGAAGTGAATTACCTGGTTAACTCTATTTCAAACTTTTATTTCCTACAAAGTGGATTGCATAATTCAAAATGATATTTAATGCTTATCATTTTTATAATCGCCTTGTATTCTACTTAATTGTAACCAGTAGTTGCAATCTATTTAAGTGCTTCATATTCCACTTACACTAGGGGTCTGAGAGCTGGTGGCGGCATAGGTGACGAAATAGAACCTCCTGACGGTGACATCCACGAAGCTCTTCGAATTATCTTCGATATGATATTCTTCTTCTTTGTCATCATTATTCTCCTTGCTATCATTCAAGGTTGGTCGTATTCATCACCTACTGAAATGGTACAATGAGTAGTAAATCATTAATCCACATTTTTATGCGTGAACGGGTTTGATTATTGATGCGTTCGGTGATCTGAGAGATCAATTGGAACAAGTTCGCGAGGATTTGGAGTCGAAGTACTTCATTTGCGGCATTAGAAAAGAATACTTCGATGCGACTCAGCACGGGTTCGATCGACAAGTGGAAAGAGAGAACATAATTTCGCTAACCATATGTGAGTTTAATCATTTTGAAGCAAAATTTTTTGATATAGGAAGTATAATCTAAATCAGTATTTTTTAAAGAAAAGGTGGACTAAAATTTAAATAACCAAAAAATGTAAGGGTGTAGCAGTCAAATGAGGCAACCAACTTACTGCAATACTCCTTTGAGCAACATGGGTTTTAACATATCTCAGGTCTAATTTTCCCATTAGTCTACTCTGTGACACGTTAGTCTCCTTATTTCTAAATACGGTGGGGTTGTTGGCTCGCTCATCTTCCAATTTCTTAGTTGCAACGTCATTTTTCCATCAGGATCCTGTGACATAGATTTGGTCAATTCGGAAGTAAGTTCTCTTTCGCAATCTGATCAGGCGATTTCAGTTTGAATTCTAGTTTAAGAAAATGATAGCCACACCTTCCATACTCCCTCAATTTGAAAACTTAATACAAATAGAAGGCTAGCAATTAATTTTTCCTTGTTGTCAACTGTGTCTCGTTTAGGTTTATCCAAAAAGTTGCAATTGGTACTGTAATTCGATGTGATTCAGTTTCTTATACTTCATCAATCTCAACTCACTTCTTGAACTCCAGACTTCATTAATAAGTTTTTTGACTTGGCTTCCACCTCTTCTCAACAAATATTTATATCAAATTGCAGGCGTTGTGATATTTATCATTAGCCTTTTAGTTGAATTCAGGCTTCGAAGAGAGGAGGAACAGACAAAGTAACATAAATTCGTGAGGGAGTGAGTGTTGGGGGGGGGGGGAACAGAAGAGAATGATTCAGAGATGTAAAAGAGACGGAAACAAAGGCAAAGAAAAAGGTAAGGTGAGCACTGTGGAAGTTGTGGAATATAAAATACAGTAAGATCATGGTAGTTTGAGGTCAGAAGTCAGCTTCCGGTTTAGGGATTTTTTTGTCGTTTGAGTACACGTTCCCCAGTGTGAACCACGTGGAGGTGAGTCTTTCGCGCTCCTACGATCTAACATTGATTTAAGTATTCTCTTTTCATTTGCTATGGAAAAACTAATATAATTTTATTATTTAAGGTATTTCCTCATGAACATTATCAACAAGCCAGACACAGAGTTCACTAGATCCTGGTGCAAAATTTGATCTGTTATTCTTTCTAGGAAACTTATGTCTGGGAGTTGTACCAGCAACGTTGTTTGGATTTCTTCCCAATTGGAAATTGTTTCCGCAAGCAATACAAAGAGGAACTTCAAGCAAAATAGTCTTGGGACAACTGTAAAATCGCTTTCTTTCGCTTTCGCCTTTCGAAACAAACTCATTTTCGAACCCTCCCCTCCCCTCTCCCCTCCCCCTCCCTCCCTCTCTCTCTCTCTCATCTCCTCATTTTACCGTTTAAAGAGATACATGCTTATGTAAGTAGATAGATTCTAATTTATTCGAAAAAAAAGAATTACATTCGCTTGGACTAATTTTTTCCCTCAACAGGAATGGATGTGATTTTTATTCCATATACTTTCTCATCCAACTGTGTGCATCATTTCTTTTGTGGTCGTGTAGTTATTTTTTTTTGTTGGGGAAAAAATGAGCAATTTGGGTATTAAAAGTGATTTGTTTTGAGCTCGCGTGTTTGTCCAAGTGCGTGCGTGCGTGGTGCGCGCGTGTGGTGATTTCACGCGCCTGCATGCTCAGCCTTTAATGGGCATTATTTTCATAATTAAAAGTGAATCCGCACTTTGCTAGCATCTTCTCTCTCCCACTCTCTTACCCTCTCCATCTGCCTCTCTTACTTTTTGCTTTCCTGGTTTTCGGAGGGTAACGGTCGATGAAATTCCACCTTTGAGTTTAAAGATGTCATTGAAAGCAGACTTCGCTAGTATTTCGAAAGGGACACTTTACACACTGTCAATCGATTATTCTTCCTTAATCACGAAGAAACAGTTAAATATTTAATTATTAGTCTATTCAGATGCTCGTATTACTCATACCTATATTTAGTAGTAATAATAAGAAGTAATTAAGTGACCCAAATATGAAAATTCTATTGACAGTAGGAGGGAGATTTTAACTATTACCACAGAAAAAGAATTAAGAAACCTCTACAAGGAGACCCGTCGACTGGGTGGGCAGAATTTGGTAGTAAACGGTAAGCAGGCTTGAAGGAGGAATCCAATGAAACGAAACTTCAGGATTTGAAATAAATGAAAAGTCACTGGCCATGCTGTCAAGAAGAGATTTGCCACTTCATGTGATACTTCAATTCATAGTGGAGGAAATAAATTCAAATTGGGGGATTTTGAAGGTCTTACCTTCGAATTTTCCACGTACACGACTTAATACCAAAATTTAAATCAGATTAGCTTTATGCAAATAATTTGTTTCGCATCCGGAATTCTCGATTCTTCAGCTGGGTTAGCACCCAATTAAACATGTGAGTTCCTACAATTATTGTC